ATTGGGATCAAAAATCAATTAGGGAGAAGTAGACAGGTTGCCTTTCTGCTATGAAGATGCAGTTAGGATTGGTTAGGATAAATTAATATTGGACTCATTCAACATGATTGTTTGGCTTCTTCCTTTAGCTTTTTTCAAGAGCTTGGGTGTAAGAGTGGTGGAATCAAATGTTGGGAGTAATCCATGATTGAGGGCAGGGGGTGTTATTTGGTAAGGTCTCAGCAACAGTAGGACAAGGGAACAAAGAGTTTAAGAGTAGAGGATAGTATAGAGTTGAACTGAAATACTAAAGAGTCAAGATTGGAAGGCAATTGTAGTCACAGCAGAGGTGATGATTTGGGAAAGTGCTGGAAGGAGTGTACAGATTAGAGGTCATAATAAGTGCCTGTTCATCATTTCTTATTGTACAATAGTATTCCATTACATTTATATACCACAGCTTGTTCAGCCATTCCTCAACTGATGGGTATTCCCTCAATTTCCAATATTTTGCCACTACAAAAAGGGATGCCATAAATATTTTTGCACATGTAGGTCCTTTTCTCTTTTTTATGGTCACCTTCGAAAACAGACCTAGCAGTGGTATTACCGAATCAAAGGGTAGGCACAGTTTGGTTTCCCTTTGGGCATAGTTCCAAATTGCTCTCCAGAATGGATGGATCAGTTAACAACTCCTCCAAGAGTGCGTTTGTGTCCCAATTTTCCAACAACCTTTCCAACATCTGTTATTTTCCCTTTTTGTCATATTAGCCAATCTGATAGGTATGAGGTGGCACCTCAGACTTGTTTTAATTTGAATTTCTCTAATCAAAAGTGGTTTAGAGCACTTCTTCATATGCCTGTAGATAGCTTTAATTTCTTCATCAGAAAACTACCTGTTCATATCCTTTGACCATTTATCAAGTGGGGAATGGCTTATATTCTTATCAATTTGATTCATGAGGCCTTTATCAGAGACACTTACTGTAAAGATTGTTTCTCAGCTTTCTGCTTTGCTTTTAATCTTGGTTGCATTGGTTTTGTTTGTGCAGAAGCTTTTTGACATAATCAAAATTATCTATTTTACATTTTTTAATGCTCTCTATCTCTTGTTTGGTCATGAACCTGTAACTCACGTAACTTCTTTAAGAATTTGGATGCTGTAACTTGGTGCATATATGTTTAGTATTGATATTACTTCATTGTCTGTGGTACCTTTTAGCAAGATGTAATTTCCTTCCTATCTCTTTTAATTAGGTCTACTTTTGCTTTTGCTTTGTCTGAGGATTACTACCCCTGCTCTTTTTACTTCCACTGAAGCATAATTGATTCTGCTCCAGCCCCTTACCTTTACTCTGTGTGTGTTCTGCTTCAAGTGTGTTTCTTGTAAATAACACATTATAGGATTCTGGTTTTTGATCCACTCTGCTATCCATTTTCATTCTATGGGAGAGTTTATCCCATTCACATTCACAGTTATAATTACTAACTGTGTATTTCCCTCTATCCTATTTTTCTTCCTGTTTGTCCTCTCTCTCCTTTCATCCTTTCCCTTCTCAACAGTGTTTTGCTTCTGTCTACCACCTCCCCAGTCTGCCCTCTCTTCTGTCAGTCTCCCCCCCCCCCCAACCCTTTTATTTAATCTCTCCAGTCCTAGTTTCCTGTCAGGTAAGCTACATTTCTATGTTCAACTTATTGTGTATATTATTCCCTCTTTGAGCCAATACTGATGAGAGTAAGGTTCAAATGATGCCCATCACCCACCCTCCTGTCTTTCCCTCCACTTTAATATGTTTTTGCACCTCTTCATGTGAAATATTTTACCTCATTCTAACACTCCCTTCCTTCTGTACCCATTGTTCTCTTTTTTCTCATCCCTTATTCTTTATGTCATTCCCTCAAATTCACCTTATACCCATACACTCTATGTATATTCCTTCTTATCTGTATTACCAGTGGTACAATTTTTGAGCATTACAATCCCTTATGTTTTCTTTCCCCTTTTTATCTTTTTAGGCTTTTTTTGGTCTTGATATTGAGGATTAAATTTTTTGTTCAGTTCTGGTCTTCTCTTTATGAAAACTTGAAATCCTTCTATTTCATTAAATGACCACTTTTTCCCTTGAAGTATTGTGCTTAATTTCACTAGGTAAGTGATTCTTGGTTGTAGTCCTAGCTTTTTTGCCTTCTGGAATATTATGTTCCATGACCTCTGATCCTTTAATGTTGCAGCTGCTAAGTCCTGTGTAATCCTGATTGTGGCTCCCCGATATTTCAGTTGTTTCTTTCTGGTCACTTATAGTATTTTTAACTTGACCTAATGGTTCTGTAATTCAACTGTAATGTTCCTTGGAGTTTTGCTGTATTGAGTTCTGGTTGCCTTAACCAGGGGTGGGGAACCTGCAGCCTTGAGGTTACATGTGGCTCTCTAGATCCTCAAGTGTGGCCAATTGACTGACTGCAAACCTCACAGAACAAATATAATAAGAAGGTCTATAAAATTTGGACTCAGTCAAAAGGCTATACCCAAGGACCTAGAAGGCCACGTGTGACCTTGAGGCCACAGGTTCCCCACCTCTGTGACCTAGACAAACTGTAGTGCATCACAAGAAGGCAGCCAGCAGAATGGTGCAACTGGAAACCTTATATGAGTTAGAATATTTATTCTGGACAGTGGGGTTGTTGGTATGATAGTCGTCTATATTCTTTAATGAAACATGAGACATTCTGTGTGGTTCCCAAAGGCAAAAATATTAGCAAAAAGGTAAAATTAAAGAAAGAAAATGTTGAATTTGTATTTGAAAATAAATCAATAAAAAGCTTCGCAACAGCTCTTGAAAACTAGAATGGGCTGTCAATAAGTAATAAGTTACTTATCATTGGAGCTGTTCAAACAAAGGTTGAATAACTCTAGTCAGAGATTTAAAGGTTAATTTGTGTCAGGTGAGGAGTTAGGATAGCTATCTAGGGCCCCATCCAACTACTGGGAAATTAGTGTACTGTACTAGCTTCAGTCTACAGTACTCTGTGACTTTTGACAAGTCACTTTTACTCTCTCAGTCTGAATTTCCTCAGCTATAATGTGGGGATTATATTAGCACTACCTACTTCCTAGTATCCTTATGAGGAAAACCACTTTGCAGACCACAAAATGTTGTATAAAGACAAGCTTTCATTCTGCGCAAGGTTGGGATGGGGGAAATGTAAAAATAAATTCACAATTGCTAGTGAGGAGACCTAAGACATTAAACAATTAATTGAGCAAATAATTTTAGAAATTAACATAATACAAACTATTCAGGTATTTTTTTCATGCTTTCATGTACTTAATTTTTTTCAGCTTTGCTAAATTAACTTATTCATTTGCAAGTTGTCTTTGTAAGAGGGTAGAAGAGTGGGAAGTACAAACTTCTCAGTCTTTGAAAGACATTACTTCTGTTGTAGTTGGTAATCACCAAGTGAGTCAGAGTTTCCTAACTGTTTAATTTAGCAGCCTTCTTATTGGTTTATTTTCTAAGCACCATTTGAAACAGAGGCTCAGGGAGAGGGGGTTTGCTGCTTTCCATCCCAGTAACATTGGAAAGAAAGCTTTCCCCACAATATTTTCCAGCCCCTGCTAAGGCGAAATGGCTTTTGGCTGCAACCAGG